TGCCATTCATGTCAAGCTGTATATTTACAAGCTGTTTTCCAGCTTTTGTCCTCTTGTCTTTTCGATTCGATACACGATATACGATCCACCCGATAAATGGACCTTTTAAATAATGTGTTCCCCGCGGAAGTCGCGCTCGTAAGGTAGCGACTGAATAAACATTCGAATTCACAGTCCTACTTCCGCTTTCATGTTCATCCGTTACCAGAACAACAATTTACTTCCGCAGCTGTGAGTTATTTTACAGCTTGTCGCCATAAAAGTGTGAGCACGATGTCCGTGTAAGTGGAAGACAGGATAAGAGCGAAATTGAACGCTTTGAGAAAGAACATTCGATAAAAAGAAAGAATCGTCTTAAGCACAGCTGCTGTTTTTTTTAAATATATATAAAGAAAGAAGTGTTTTTATCAAAAGTTTGCAATAATTGCACAAAATAATTTTTTATTATTATACAATATAAATCGTGTCATCTTTTTTCGTGAAGTCCTTTTTTAGATGATATTTAAATAATTTTAATTATTCAAGATAGAAGAAATTAATAACACCTAATTATAACTAAATTGTTATCTATTGAAATTGTCTATTAAAATGTAACAAATTTTATGATATACAGATATTGTTAACAGACAACATTTTCATAATGAAGTTTTATAATGAAAATACAGATTATTAATTGTAAAATATTAACGTGTAAAGAACACGTTTTGCTGAAGAAATCTAAAATTTTAGCTAGATGCAAATCTAAAAATAATTTTGTTTGAACAGTCAAAATAATTATGTAGGACACTTAAACTAATTGTTAAAACTTTTAACAGCATTGTCATCAAAATTGTAGCTACATAATTATTTTGATGATCTAAAATTATTTTCAGATTTATATCTAGCTAAATTTTTAAATACTTTAGTAAAACTGTTTTTTCCAGAGATTACACTCGGGATACGTGTATAGCAGGATACAATGAATTTGCATTATATGTATGATACAACACTATATATATATATTTTTTTTTTAATATTAATTCTATTTTATAATACATAAGCTTTTTTTACCAATGATCTCGCTCTTTATAAAATATGTAAAATATGTATGTATTTTTTGGAACTTTGTAAAACTACTAATTAACCTATGTTAATTTGCAATATTTTTAATGTTGATGTGTTTATGTGCGTGTTTATCGTATTATTCGTATCTAAAATGCAATAATAATACGTAAATGTCATTAAGCTTGATTAATCCGCGATATCCCGTGTTTAATTCCCGTACGAGCTCTCATAATTATTATAAAAGATAAATCAGAATACGGTGTTGTTCGAGACTGTCGTTAACCTAGTTTCGGTAATAAGAGTATGTTTCACGTAGAATTTTTATAAACCTTTTTTTTAGTCGTCTACCAGCATGTACATGCGCAGCAATGAATAGACGTTGATTGAGTGTAGAATAACGAGTAGCTGAGAAAATAGAGTATCCGAAAATAGTAGTGATATTCCCGGTTCTTGAAATAAAGAAAAATGACATGATAAAAGTGGAACAAAATCTTTCTTCATATTACATATATAATAAATATCGCTATTTATACTGATAGTAATAATTCCAGATTTTAAACAAATAGAATAATATAAATAATTTATAAACGCGAAATATGTATAATAAAATATATATGACTATGTATTTTTAAAATCAGGAACATAAATACAACATATTTTTTGGATCTTTGTGACGTGAAAAAATATATTTTTTATAACGATTTAACGGTTTGACGTGAAAAAATGTTTTTTATAACGATTTAAAGGCTAAATAACCAAAAAGTGTGATGTAAATACCATAACAAATAAATATTATAAGAGAACTGTTGCAGAATTATTTCAAAATTTTTATCGTATCATCCAATATTTCTCAAAGTTTATGTTCTTTTTGCAATGGCGACATGCACAGATGGCGACAAAGTGATTATTTCAATAGATACAGGAACGGAAGAGAGCATCGATATTCTGCATACATAAGAATGAGAAGAATGGAAGGGATAGAGAGAGATAGGGAAATAGAGAAAGAGATCACGCAGAGAAGTTACTCGATTAAATCTAATCGAATTGCGATACGCGAAATTTTACACATTCTTTACCGGTGAATTGTGTATGCGCATTCTTCACCTTTAGAGATCAAGGGGCATATCGAATTGCTTGGTCATTCCAATCACGTAGTCGAGTTACAGCGGTCCCCCGAAGATCCCAAGTAGCTGCTAGCGCAGTTCAGCACTTTACAGTTTGCATGCTCGCAGTCGTTGATTTACGAACGTGCGCGGAGAGGGCCACGGAATGTAATAGCGGACCTAGGTTTGTTATTGCCGCTGCAACAATCGTTTGTATGCATTACTCTTTGTGCTCGGCTTTATGCATATAATCTAGAACCTGGGACGAAGACGGTCGTTATCAAGACAATGTAGCGACCATGTCGAGAAGCACTCTAGTTCTCAACGTTGCTATGTCACGACATTATTGCGAATCTTGTCGATGGAAAAAGCAACGAATTAGTTCAGAATTACACAATGTCACAGAGTATACAGTATTACTGGTTGACATAATTTAAATATATTTTACGATACGGTTACAACAATGATTTAATAATCGTATATTTTATTTTTTCACAGCTTATGCGTTGTATTATAATAATGAACAGTTCAAGAAATATATAGTACAATATAATATTCACTTTTGTATGTAAGATAATTGTTTTAATATTTTAGATAGTAATATCAAGTTTATTTTCTGGTACTTTAAATTTAGTTGCTATAAAGTTTATATTAAATGTTTTCAAATAATTATATTTAATATATCATTTATTGTTTGAACAATAATCTTTAATCTTAAGAATAAGGAATTAATCTTATTTTAAAATAAATCAAGGAATACAGTTTTTGATGAAAAAGAATACAAGATAAAGTATACGTAATGTGGCAATAAAATTCGCTGAATATTATGAGAAAATAAACACCATTTAATGAATATATAATACAAATAACCTTCATTGTCCTTTAAAGTAATTCTTCCCTCGAGGCAATAAACTTCTGACTACGTTCGTACAGTTTGCGGAAACTCTGTGAAAAGGCATTTTTTAATATCGCCTTAAATCTTGTACACTATCCTGTCCGAAATATTTATAAGTCGAGTTCATTGCCTTCTCTAGGGAAGAAAGAGAAATCTGCTGGGACAAAATTCGGAGAGTAGGGAGAATGCAAATAACTCAAAATGATAACGTAACGCTGACTCAAAAATTGCCGTACAGAATCGATGAACGTGAATATAACAATAAGACTTAAGGCAATATCCAAAAATGATTTTTTACAGAATTTCCGCAAGCTGTACGAACTGCTGCGAGCTGTGGAATAGTATTTACAGATAAAAATGGTATATTGCCTCTAGAGCAGGTTACTTTAAAGGACAATAATGATCATTGTATATTAATTAAATGGTATTTAATGATTTTTTTCTTATAACATTCATCGAACTTTATTGCCACTTTATGTATTATATATTCAAAAGATACCGTTGAAATATCGTGTCTTATTCAAAATCTTCAGGAGTATTTAATATTTGCGAAAGACAGCGCAACAGTACTCGTAATATAATTGCGGGCATATTCGAATAATCAACATGATTTCGATCTCCTTTGGTTCTACAAATTTACTCAATAAAATTGGGAAGCGTATCTCCTATGCTTTACCGCCGCGTTACCACGAGCGCCTCGTCGCAGGAGAAACGACCAATATCGAGTCAGACAGATGTTCCTTCGTCGCCGCGTGAATTATCGACTCGTTCCTCCGTGCGCAATTCCTTCTGCCGGAGTTAGGAAATATTGAAAAATTTGCATATTCTGCATCTCGTACGTGACTGCTCACGACATAACTAACAAGCTTCTCATCTGTTTTACTTTTCATATTTCTCATCGGGACGATGCAACGACGGCCTGCATTCATCCATGGGCTGTTTGGTGGCGGTGGTGACAACACTCTACTACGGTGATGGTGACATATTAACACATTGGTGATGGTGACACATACATTGACATATTTACTTAATTTATCTTGCGCTTGCTTGAAAATTTTGCTTGAAAATTTGTGCATTGAAAATATCGCATCTATACATTGAAAATGCTATATTAATGTTGTTTGTTGGCACTATATTATCTTATTATTTATTCACACATGTTCTAACGCTTGAATTAATCAATTTATAATGAAATGGATATTGCCACATTTCATCACGCATTATCTCACATACTGACTATTAACATATATATTTGCGTGCATGCATGAGTGTGTGTGTGTGTGTGTGTGGGGTGTGTATATACATATATATGTATACGCTGCTACAATCGCTTCACTATTTCCTCGAAAACTTCTACGACCGTACCGTCCTTTATTGGATGCCACTCGCGAAATTATCGCGCGAATCTGCATTTACACGCTGGTACCGTCTGCGGTTCCGTCCGCAAACTCCATCGTCACGAACGATCTCCGCGTTAAATTCCGCAAATGTCGACTGCTTCCCGCTATGTTGAACCGCGTATCGTGTGTAAACGAAACGACGTCGCTTTCGCGGGCGAATTTGTGCCATTGATACATCCGTTCCCACTCCATCGCCAACCAATCCTGGCTGATCGACTCGTTAATTACTCTCAATCCCTTTAAATTGATCACTGTTGTGGTGACGATGCCATTACGGCTCATCGATCGATCTTCGATATGCGACCGCTTACATTTCTTCTTTTGTTCTTCTATAATTTACGTGTGGCTTGAACCTCTTTTATCTACTTTTCATATTGCACCTTTCTGCGACATCTTTATTTAATATTTCGTTTTTATCCGTTTATAAATTGATTATTATCGATTATAACATTGATATAATTTTACTTTATTTATTTGATTTTTATATCATTATCGATTGATTCGTTAATCTTATTTTATGTCGCTTGCGTCGTGCGGTTTTTCTATTTTAATTGATAGCCCTGTTGTCAGGCACCCTGAAGACCTATCAACGTGCGGCTTGCGACGAGGAAACAATGACGTTAAAATGTCCGCCTGGTACAACCATCCTTGTCGAACACGCTCAATATGGAAGAACGGGAATGCACGGCATCAGCAAATGCAACTCGTCCGTTCCTCTGATGATCACGGCGGACAAACCAACGAATCACACATGCATCTGGCCGCAATCAGTGCAGGTATGTGCCAATGAAATTTTCCTATTTTGAACAGGTAAATGTCGATTGAGCGAAGCGGCAGCATATGTGGTTTTTTCAAGTTTATTGCAAATTGTTGCTGCGTGGACATATTGATCGATTTAATTGACTTAGAATCTAATTGAACGTAAAAATCAAATACAACATTTTATGAATTAAAGTTTACGAGAAAGTTAAACATTTTTTGGAAATATTATTTTTCATTATTACTACCAAACAATTAATTTTTCTTTCTCATTAAAAATCTTTTTTTTTTGTTTCTTAAAAATAATTAAAATCTTTTGAGGCTGATTGGTAATAGCACAGTATGGCATGCTAATAAGATATTATAGCTTTTCTTTTAAAATAATAATTAGAAATTTTATATATTAGAAGTAATATTGAATTTTATTATGTATAAGTTGATATTGAATTATGCCAAGGTTGAAATGCGGCGAACGCTTTTAATGCGATATTCTTTTTATCATAAGTTAAAAGGTTGATCACATAGGTATTTCTAGTGTAATGGCATAGCGCTCGAACGTCACAAATTTGCTAAACTTGGTAAGACACGATTCCATTTTCTTGTGAAAGTTTAATATTTGGACGTACTTTAAATTCCGATTATCTTCCGATTCTGCCTCTTCAGCTCCCGAAAGGAAGTTGGCGAGTACAAACTCCGTTCAATCTGAGCAGCCTAAATTCGTGAGTTCTGAAGAATTCGAACGTCGATCAAATGTAGGATGTGTCATCTCCGTTTCATAACATCTACGACATTTCGTAATATCACGATTGCTCGATCTAACCTGATACATACGAAAAGAACGGTTCTCTGGAGTATTTCAATATTAAATATAGATCTGAAAATAATTTTGTTAGAATCAGCAAAATAATTATGTAGGACTTTCAAACTGATTGTTTGGGTGTCAAAACTTTTTGCAACTTTTTGCTCATCATGCTTGAGTTTCGTAAAATCTACATTATTTCGCTGGACAACAAAATTATTTTCAGATCTATTTAAATTTTTAGATACTTCCAAATTGTTCTTTTGTGTACCTGATTGTGAGAGAGATTTTACGCCGTTATTCACGCCTGTTCCATTTCTGACAACACTTTCATTTCTCTATCTCTCCACTTCGAAACTTTATTCAATGGTTTACATTTATTAGCTCTTCGTGAACTCCTCAATTCTAATCTGGAACAGGATGATATATTCATCCCACTTTCATCTTCTTCTAGTTCTATCCCGTGTGAGTACCGAACTGGAAAGAATCGTAAAGTGAACCCCACCTCTTTTAGGGTTAACCTTCGTTCGCTTCAAGCATCGTAAACCTCGCTCAAATGTATGAACTCGTGTCTGAATCAGAGTGCTATCGTTCTTGTCTATTGGATGATTTTACACATGCACGAGATCGAGATTGTCACAATACTCACAATTTTTCTTATCACGATCATTTTTGTCAGTTTTTTCATTTACACGAAAAAAAAAGACAATAAAGAATGTCTCTATATTAATATCAAATTGTATGGAAAGAACAATTTTGCTAAAATATCTAAAAATTTAACTAAATACAAATCCGGAAATAATTTTTTTGGATTATTAAAATAATTTTGTAGAAATTTTAAGCATAATATGAGCCATGTTATTATAGAAATATTTTAATATTTTAGCAATCAATTTGAGTGCCCATCATAATTATTTTGATGGTACATAATAAATGATACTAACAAAATTATTTTTAGATATGTATAGCTAAAATTTTAGTTATTTCAGCAAAACTGTTCCTTCCGTGTGAATATTTAAACGTAAAAACCTCTAACATTCCGAATTCTCGCCTTTGACTTTATTTTTCGTTCCTTGTGATTTTTCAAAATTGTCGAGTGAGTTCGATTTAAACAAGCTAAAGGAAGAAGCTTCGTCAAAGGCGACGCAAACAGATGTACTCAGATGTAACTGTAAATATCATCAAAGGAGCTTTCGCAAAGTTTTCGCGAGAATGGTAATCGAGCAAGTCAAGAAGTTGAGAGAAAAGCATCAGTGTGTACGATTTATTCTCTCAACAGGAATGCAGCAGCGGGAAGAAACTCCGCGAGAAAATTCCGTGGAGAATGCACCCGCACGAAAACTTGTTTTCTTTGAACTTAATTCACTGGCAATTATGGATCTCGCGCGGGAGCGGGTAAAGAGATACATCCCGCGTTGGTCTAAAATCTTAGTTGGTGAAATAATGGTAACTGACCTGAAAACGGCACCTCTGTGTTTCGTGAAGCATGCAACTGACAAATTCGTTTGAGGTCGCGCGGGCTAAAGACAAGAGAGAGAAAATGGCACGATGATATAACGAGATTGTGACGAAATGATGACGAATATAAAGGTTTCCTTAGAATGTACGTTTTTAGTCTTCTTTTTTCGATATTAAATTATTTATTTATGAAAGTTACGATTTAAATGTATAAAAGCGGAAATCGAATACAAGATTAGTAACAATCTTTTACGTTACAAATTTTTTACGGTACTATCTTGCTCGTCTTAACTGAAACTTGCTTTATAATCAAACTTGGTATTAAAGACATATATGCGAAAAAAATTGCATTGCTGAAATATCTAAAAATTTAACTAGATACATATCTGAAAACAATTTTGTTGTGCCTTTAAAAAGAACTAAGTAGAACTCTCAAGCATGATTAATGTTGCAAAAAGTTTTGACATTCTAGCAACCAGTTTGAATTTTATATAATTACTTTGATAGTCAAACGAAATTATTTTTAGATCTGTATCTAGCTAAATTTTAGATATTTTAACGAAATCGTTCTTTCCGTGTATAATAAAACAAGTTTTAGATTTATGTTAACGTCACTGAGCAATGCGGTCTTCGGAAAGATCAAGCGTCTCTTGGTAATTCAGAATGGTCTCCGGTTCTATTCTCTCGAAAAAAGCGGTGTTATTCGCACGATATTGCAATATAATAACTTACCTTTGGTATACAATAAAAATCTTCGCCGGTATCCATCCGGTTTGTGGTTTTCGCGAGAGTCCGCGTATCGATTTCATATTTCATATTCCACCGACCGAGGAAGGAACCATTGTACGTATGATCCCACCAGAATGCGAAAATGGAGTAACTCTTTTATTTCGTCGACGATCTTATCCTCTTCTGCAGATCTTGCTTTTCACAAGATTTACGCTTTCTCTTGCACATTGCGCGATATTTTTTAGCTACTGGATATACGATTCGCTCGACGACGCTTACTTTCCTTAACATATAAATTTTATAAAATACTAAAATTTGCCGTTTTTCTTATGTGTACAAATGTACGTGTGATATATTATCACCGGAATTCTGCTAAGAAATAGAGTCTTTGTTAATCCTTTTACAAAAGATCGAACCATAAAACAGTGATAGGTAGTTTTATGACGTACACGATAATCCGCCTTACCTCAATGACTATCCGTAATGTTTTCTACGGGATTTATAGCGCTTTTGAATCTTTTCTACAGGCAGATTGTAACGTATACTACAGAGAAACCAATGATGGTCGATAGTTCAACGGGCCAAACACCGTGGAAGAATTTTCTTCCTGAACGATTTATTTGGTCTCTCAACAAAAGGTCGTCGACTCATAAAACAAGTTCATAGTGAAGTGTGCTTATAATCTATTTACTATGTTCTCATATTGGATCAACTTACGATTATAGTTAACTCTGAACAATTTATGGAGTTTTAAAATACTTTCATCATTTATATTGCTTTTGATTTTAGATAGTTATAAAATTTAAATATTTTCATAGATTGAACATAAAATTCAATAAATAGAAATTCAAACGATTGCAAATCGTAAAAACTATGTACTCATATATTTAAAATAAATAATACATCTATTAACACAAAATCTACTGATGTATTATTTCGTTAGAACGCGTATAGAACGCTCCCCTTTAAATGTCATAAAGGGAAATTAATAGTGATATAAGTTTTTCTATATAATAGAAGAAGTAATTGAAGTATATTCTCAAATTGTGACCTTTTTCTTTGTATCGACTTTTCTATTTCATCTAAAATGTTGGATGTAAAAAAATGAGAATATTCCATAATATACCTTTAATTCTTGTTAGTACAGTCTATATTCCGATATATATTATACTTACCATAAAAGAATTGACGGTATGATTGGTTCGAGATCATTCGCGAGAAGGCGATCGCTCGAGCTATTGGCTTCCAATACACGAGAAATTTCTGGCCACCCCTGATGACGCTTCTGTTTTCACGACAGAAGCATTTCCGGTATGACTTCGCGTGAACGAATCAGCGCGGAGCGGCGGTACTTTTCTCGGGTACAAGTTGCATGGGAATTTTCGACTGGAAAGCCGTATTCCTGAATGAAGGCGTATTCCCTGTAGAACCATAAGGAGAGTTCGACTCGAAAGTGGCTCCGTGCCTCGCCAAGCGATTCGAATCTCGCGAAAGAGCTTTTCCGCGCGAGTGCTTACCCTCTGCGCAACTTCTCAGCGACATACGTCGCTGCTTCCATAAAGAGGTAGGAATTTAAAGTCGCGGCTTGCCGGAATAAAAGCGACGGGTGCGCTCGTGTGCATCCGTAGACGCGTTCTTCGCGTGGAACGTATGTAAATCACGAACTGAAAGGAAGATTGAGACTGAAGTGGATGTACAAATATCGATAACGAGGATTCGCGAGGAAATATTTACGCATAAACGAGCCGATATTACAAAACGAGTAAACTTAAACGAATTTATAATTGAATAAAGGGAGATAGATCGAGATTGATTGAGGGACTAAGGGAACTAGAACCAGTCGTTTTACAGCTTTGTTAGGAGATCGAGCGTCTGTGTATCTATATAAGATTGAGATCCGATATGCTGATATCCTTCAGTTTATAGCTCGATTTTATCGTCCGAGGATTTACGTTGGTTTCGTGGCACTTTGTATATTTAGTTCACTTTACTTTGAGCCGAAGCTCTTATTCTTGTCGCGCATCGATATATAAGTAATATCCGAGATGCGCGAATAACGAGCGAGAGTATCTCCTGAAATATATTGAGGGCTTCGTATATTGCTAATCGTGTTGCTTTAAATTGAAGTAGCTCAACTAATATCAAAGCGATGGTCCTACTTGCGCTGAGATTGGTTTGTTAGTTTACGATATCGGGTCCTGATACAACAGCAAGAGAAACGTAGCGGTTTAAGCGGAATTACGCGTCCTGACTTTGGCCCCTGGGGCGAAGTCGCTCGATGGAACGGTAAACGTTTACTTATAGTGACGGACGACATGGAAACGGTCAGAATGTATCGACGCACGTGGAAAATCGATTTCTCCCACGGGAACCTTCGCCACGTATACGTGAAATGCAGGAGAATGGCCCAAGACGGAAACTTCGAGAGCCGATAATTAGATGGATATCGTATATACGCGAGAACACATACGCGATCGAGTCGCATACGAGAATCTCAACGTGAATGTGTCGGTAGCAGGTTGAAACCTGGGAACGTAATTTCCACATTTCCCACGCTGGGTCTTCTGTCTTCCTTCACTTTCCCACGAGATATTATAACTATTACAATGAACATTTTTTTCCACATTTCTATGAGTGAGTTCATTGATTTTTAATTATTACATATGTGACACGAGGTGCAGGGTGAATTTAATCAGGAATAAAAAATATATTGAAATGCAGTAGAAATATCTTTTATTAACATAAATTTAAAATTAAAAACGTGAAAAGAAATAATTAATCGATTTGGCTAAGATTTTTTAAAACTAAAATAACCTCAAAGTCAATTTGCGATTTATATTCTTATTTTCGTCTTTTACTCGTATATGACATGGACTGTTATTGACATTACGCGTTTTCCCGACTAAAATTACTACTCAGTTCATTAAGATGCTTCTCATATAACGCGATTAAATTGCATTTAACGTAATCAAGGCAATGTAACTCGAGCCTTTGCATGTAATTAGCCGATTGAAAATGGAATCCTTGGAATTTTCAGCGATGTGCGAATATCACCAGGCGTTATCGGATAACCAATGACTCCTCAGGAACGTGAAACTCGAAAGGATGATTTCCCGTGATGATGTTACTCGCTTTCGACAGCTAATGCTTTTATACTACTCAAGTGGAAATTTTCTTAATTAAAAAACCATATATCTTTTTTCGCTTTATGCACTCGTTCACTATTTTATCTCTTCCGTTCTATCTTCCGCGAAATCCAATCGTTGCAGTTCCGGATAACGTTGAAAACGCATTTCCGTGGAAGTTGGGACATAGTTTTTACTTCACTTTTTGTCAAAAGGTTATAACCGCTTGTTACAACTTTAACTCTTACGTAACCTTTATTTTAATATTTTTTATTCATTTATGAATGTTTGCGATTTATCCTTTATAATATAATGTTTATGGAATGAGTTAAAAATTTAATAATTAAATAAAGATTTTTAGTATTGAAAAATTTAATCTTAAAAATTTAAATCATAATAAATGACATTAGAGCGATATATGAATAACACATCTAAGTAGAAAAATACCTTATTCGCTATGAGCTAGATTAGTGTTTAATAATATTTTGGTATGAATTTAAATATCACCAATTCGGTAAATATACCAGTGCATACCGATTTAATTTTTAATTTTGAAATGCAATCCTAAACTGAAACTGAGATAGTAATATCTCATATTAAATCAACAGGCAATTTAAGAACATTGATGCTAATCAATATCATTATTCTTAAATTAGTAGAGGATTTATTGCGAAAAATGTCATCTCAAAGTTTAAATCTGGATTTCTCATTCCATGACGAGCATCTTTATTATACCAATTCGATCACTGTGGTATATGGTAATATTTAAAAATTTAAATGTTTTTATTTATATCTTTATGAACAGCTCATCGCTCATTTTATCGATTTATTCTCGCAAATATTGGCACATGGCATACGATTTTGTTATGCAGGTCGACCTCAACGATATTAGTTTTACTTTGTCCGACAGCTTTTCATGAAAAAAGCAAAAATAATCTCATTTCAAAATCAAACTCGTCGGTGAAAACGCTTGGCTGCAAAATTATGTCTTTATTTCATGCAAAAGCTAACTGGTTTAGTTTGAAGTTGTCACAGTTTGTCTACCGTCTTTGATATGCTTTTTTTATCCAGATGAATACCTTTTATATCAATTGCAATAATCGCGGCAAAAGATTTCTCTGTAATTTTAGTCTTCAAAGCGGCATCAAACTAGATTGTTCTATTGCATTGCAGTTTGTTCATGTTATTATATTAATTTCTGTTGGATTTCTTCTTTTTTGCATCAATGATCTGTGCATAATTGCTTAATGATTTTGATATATATTTGCATTACTTATTTTTAAAAATTTTAAAAGATTTTAATTACTTTTGCTTTTTCTAAGTACTTTAATTATGATTTTAACAAATAATCCAACACATAGTTTGATATGAAATGATATATATAATATTTATTATGATATATATTAGTGTTACCTTCGCGATTTATCTTTAAAAGATAATTTTCTTTATTTTATGACACATTTTTTTGCCTGACAGTTAAATTAAATATACGTATAGGATATTACTTTTGTAATGAATTACGTTAAAAGGTAAAATTGCAACATTTCTTAACAGCGCGAATTGGTGCTCGAAAGAAATCAGAAAAGATATAAAGGGATACCGTTTGTAATTCTTATCGATTCTGATCGCAAAGTGAACGGATCTTCTCATTGACGCGTTAGCACTCACTGTTGCAGATGGTGGTTGGAGTTTGTCAAAAAAAGCGGCAGTGCAAGTTCAACACTGATCCGAAGACTTTCCAAGGTGATCCCTGTCCTGGATTACGGAAGTACATCGAGGTCGCCTACAAATGCCGTCCCTGTAAGTACCCTCATCCATATACATGCAGATACACTCACACGTACGTCCGCACGGATGCATGCGCGAACGTGCGCGAACAGATGTGAGATCGAGTTGTACCTTCAAGAGAGAGAAAAGGAATCGTTTTTCTCCGAGACATCCGATTCCTTTTTATGCGAACATCGAGCGTTAGGTTGGTTCGCCGCTCGCATAAGAACCGGTGATATCGATGAAATTCCTTGCGCGACACGCACGACGGCGGGAGGCTCGCGGAGAAATTCCCAGGTGCGACGTGATCCGGCAAATTCCGATCGATTCCGGTGGCTGCGGGAATATTTACTGCGGGTGAAAACGTAATTTTGCGATTATTCTGAGACCGAATTGAAATCGAAGTTTAGCTATAAAAATAATATAACTTGCTATTAGGATTTTATTTTGTTAACGAGTGCCTTAATTTTATGGCGAATAGGAAGAAAGACTTAAAAATAAAACCAATGATTAATTATTTATCAATTAATAGAAGTCTTCGTTAAAAAAAATATTCAATTATTTGACTTTAAACTACAATAATTAACATTTATATGTTATTAATATAAATTGTAATATAGTCAATTAACAAAAAATAAATTATAGTTAAACAAAAAATAAAATCACCTTACTGTGCGGAATTCGCTGCAATACGGGCGTTTAAAGTCAATTTTCTTTGAATAAAAAGCTTCTGTAATTAATAAATAATTATCGGCTTTACTTAATCGCTCAGAATTATAGTAGAAACCATATAATATATAGTTTCTTGTTTAATAAATCACAATTACTAGGAAAAAAAGCGGAACATTTGTAATTATGGTATTATTAAAAATTCGCTAATATGATGACAAATACAGAGTCGAAATATACGTTTGTTTAATGTTTAAATAATTTGTTGCGCGACTTAAGATTTATGTCATTAAATTAAACAATTATTTTCATTGAATTTGCGCATTGATTTCTGCGCTGATTTCTATTGCCTCATTACTGTTTATTATTTGTTTGGCTTTATTTAATTTTTCCTGTATAAGTATTCACAATTCTCTCATTCTCTCCTACATCAAAATTATTGAAAACATATTAATGGTATTTATTTTAAATAGCATGTGCGGTCTATGGTCACATGTTATAGTATGACATTAAGCATATATCAATGGATTGCGAGAAATGTGAGGTTATCACTACAATATAATACTGTAATATTGTTTGCATTTACTCTGTTCGCAATTCCCTCATTCTCCCCTACTCTTATTATTCTACATAATTAAATAGATAATTAAAAATAAAGTATTAAAAAATAGGAATGTTTAATTGAATTTATTTATTTTAAATGAATTAGCGATAATTTAAGTAAGTCAAAACAGGACTCTCAATATTAAAATGATAAAATTATGTGACATTAAGGCAAATAGGAGTCTACGAGTAAGATTACGTAAACATTATAAAACATTATAAAAAGTGAATATAACATCATAAAAAATTAACTATTGATAGACTAAGACAATATTTATTCAAATCATATTACATGTTTTGGCTACAAGTTTGAAACATGTAATGCGATTTGATTAAATATTGTTTTAGTCTATTAACAGTAAATTTTTTATTATATTATATACTCACTTTAGTTTTATAATATTTATGTAATCTTATTCGTGAACTCCTATTTGCCTTGATGTCACACAATTTTATTATTTTAGCAATAATTTATTTGTTTCTTTCGAAGAACAAATTTTAATACTTCTGCTTTAGACATCAAAAGTTTATAAATTTTTTCTTTGTATTACATATATATGGAATTTTACTGCATTTACTATACTAAGCTTAGCATGAGTAACAAAAATCATGCGTTTAAACAGTTATATCAGAGATCTATACATACGCATCCACGTAGAGCAATGAAGACAACCTGTTGCAGTAACAAGCTTCAAGTCATTTTTGCTACGGAGTATAGCAAATACTCCATCGCGGCGCGTTTTACATTCTGTAAGTCCGCACTGGTTCCTGCAGCTCGTGCTCAAGCCACAGTCATCTCATTGTTTACTGCGCACACGGTAAATCCAAGTGTTTTTTCGGAGCATTGCTGGCGTTAAATCACTCTCCAGAACAAAGGTATGTCAGTTTCGCACGTTGAAAAAGGTTACCAGCAGAACATAAGTGCAAGAAACCTAGTTTCG